TTTTTGAGACAGAGTCTTGCTCTGTGACCCAGGCTGGAGTGCAGTGGCGCAATCTCAGCTCACTGCAACCTCCGCCTCCCAGGTTCAAGTGATTCTCCTGCCTCAGTCTCCTGAGTAGCTGGGACTACAGGCAATTGCCACCACACCTGGCTAATTTTTGTAATTTTAGTAGAGAGGGGGTTTCATCATATTGTTCAGGCTGGTCTCAAACCCCTTTCCTCAGGTGATCCACCCACCGCAGCCTCCCGAAGTGCTGGGATTACAAGCGTGAGCCACTGCGCCCGGCTGGCTTCACGCTCTCTGGTCCCAAGGGAAGGCAGAGCTGGGGGCAGGACAGTTGAGGTGATGGCTCTGTCCTAGGCACTGCACTGGGTCTCTTGCTACAGGACTTCTCCCAGCAGCCTGTGCCTAAGAGAACTTTCTACAAAGGGAGGCTCCAGGAAGTCTTAGGGAAGCTTCAGTGATGAAGACGGATGGAGGATTGGAACTACAGAAGAGGCCATCCTTGAGGTTTTGGGGTTTTTTGCTGCAGACACAGAGTCTTGCTCTGCTGCCCAGGCTGGAGTGCAGTGGTGCCATCCTGGCATACTCTAGCCTCTGACTCCTGGGCTCAGGTGATCCTCCCGCCTCAGCCTCCTGAGTAGCTATGTCTCCAGGTGCACGCCACCGTGCCCTGCTAATTTTGGTATTTTTTGGAGAGACAAGGTCTTGCTCCATTGTTCAGGCTGTTCTCGAACTCCTGGCCTCAAATGATCCTTCCACCTCGGCCTCCGAAAGTGCTGGGATTACAGATGTGAGCCATTGTACCTGGTGCCACCTACATTGATATATTGAAGCCCTAACCCCCAGAAGCTCAGAAGGTGACTATATTTGGAGATAGGGGCTTTACAGAGGTGATTAAGTTAAAATGAGGCCATTAGTGTAGGCCCCATCCAGTCTGACTGGTGTCCTTATAAGAAGGGGAAATTTGGATATGCAGAGGCAGCAGGGAGGTGTGCACAGGGGAAAGGCCATGCAAAGACACAGCAAGAAGGTGGCCATCCACGAGCCAAGGAGAGAGGCCTCCAGAGAAACCACCCACCCACACCTTCGTCTTGGACCTCCAGCCTCCAGAACTGGGAGAAACAGACTTCTGTTGTTTAAGCCACCCTGTCGGTGGTATTCTGTGAGAGCCGAGCACAGTAATGCAGGGGCACCATTCCAATTGCCTTTATAATTGTGACTGCTGCTTCCATGCCACAGACCCTCTGCCCACGGCCCAGACACTCACCGTAGCTTTGTGATGTTCACCCCGGCATACTCAGGGATATCGGCATACACACGGTTCATCTGAAAGGCAAGGGGCCACTGTGTCATCCCAGCGGACCCATGGGGCCTTTCCGTGGGACATCAGGGCACAGGACCTGTCCTAGGGCATCACAGCAGACTTGCCACGTGCAGTGGTCCCTTTCCAGAGACCTGCTCCGCCCAGGGCCCCCTGCAGACCCCAGATAAAACCTGGCCTCATCTTTTCCCTCCTCCACTGGCAAGCCCTGAGGACATGGGAGCTGGAGAAAACTCCTGTGCATCTAACAAGGGAATAGCCCCCAGCTGCCTCCTTAACCCTACAGACTCTGCTCTGGGGGAACGGAGTGGCCATGGGGCCTTGCTCTCCCAGACTTACCTCTTCCGTGAATGTCTTGTTGAAATTCTTGAATTCCTCGGAAGAGTGGTCATTCAGCTCATCGGAGAACTTCACACTGGTCACTGTCACAGTCATTTCCATTTGGGCGGAGACTGTCTGTGGTGGCGCTGAGGAGGGTAGGCTTACTGAGCTAAGCATCCCTGAGTTTCCTACTCAGAGGATCTGCCCCGCAGCCTGGGTGGAGGGAGTGACCTCCATTGTACTTTATGGTAAAATTCTGTGCCAAATTTGTGTCAAAAATACACCTTCTTGTTTTATTCATTTCCCCTTCCTTCCTTCCCTCCTTCCTTCCTTCTTTCCTTCCTTCCTTCTTCCCCTCCCTCCCTCCTTCCTTCCCTCCCTCCTTCCTTCCCTCCCTCCTTCCTTCCCTCCTTCCCTCCTTCCCTTCCTTCCCTCTTTCCCTCCCTCCCTCCTTCCCTCCTTCCCTCCCTCCCTCACATCAAGGTGGGGCAGGAACTGGTGCCTATGTGGAGGCCAGGTCCCAGGGCACAGGGAGGGGTTGGGGGGAGGGCCTGGGGTTGCACTTACTTATGTCAAGGATGTTGGACACCTCCTCACAGAGCTCCCCAATGTAGGGGGACAGACACTGACACTTGAGCCCATCCCAGGAGCCTCCGTTCTTGCAGACAACGGCCGAGTACTGGCACCGATCTCCGTTATAGCCAGAGAGGCACTCACAGGAGTCTCCTGTCCACTTTCCTCCATTGAAGCACTGCGCTGAAAGGAACAGGGATCTACTGTGGTTACATGTTGAGCACTGCACTTTACAGCTGATGATGCGTTTGCACAGACACCGCCTCATTTGTTTTTTTTGTTTTTTTTTTTTTT